TGGTGCGGCGACATACCCCTGCACGGCCGGTGAACTGGATAAGTTGGAGCATGTACAACGTGCTGCCACTAGGATCGTTGTCTGACTACGCGAGACCAGCTATGAAAGTCGTCTACAGGCTACTGGTCTGTTCCNCAATTACGTGTCGACGCCTCAGGGGAGATCTCATCTGCCTGAGGAAGATCCTGAGAGGTGATAGGGGCCCGGAGCTGCAACAGTTCTTCCCTTTACGGACAGAGGACCGCACGCGAGGGCACTCTCTCACGTTGCGGAAACTTCAGTCAGTTGGTCTTCCGTTAGTCTAACGACTCTCGCGTAGGTCAACAACACTCTGGAATTCCCTTCCAGCGATTGTGGTGGAAGAGAAGACAGACGCTGCTTCCAAAGGGCGTCTGGATGAGCACCTGAAGGGGCTATGGAGGAACGAAAACTTGTGGTCGGACCTTCGACCCAGTGGTGAAGGGGCTTACACGGGTATCCTGCCCTCTGCCCTCAATCCTGAAGACTGAAGGTGCGCAGAAAAAAAGAAAATATTCATGATCCATTAACAACACGCGTCTCTCCATCAGACTTTGATCAACATGAGGAGGACAAAGGCGGATCAATACGTATACCACTTTTGAATGCGAGACCGCTTTTTACGGTTTCCACAAAGCGACACCAAATTCTGGCCAAAACAAACCTCTCCTTGAGGATAAGCTCATTGGTTTATGAATAAATCACACAAGAAGGTTGTGTCATCAAGCTCCACTACTCACAATGCAATGTGCCGGTGCGGAAAACCGCGTTTAATTCTTCCAACAGACGATTGATATTTCTGTCCAGAGCGGGAACAAATATCCGTTGAAGGGAATCACGATAGGCGCCGGCTAAATCAGCAGACAGAGCCGCGGAGGTTGACCGAGCGAATTGGGTGGTGAAATTCTGATGAAAAAGATCGGGAGTGAGAGCAAGTGAGGCAGTGAAAATGGAGGGATTTGATAGAATTGTTCTAGTCATTATAAAATTCGATAAATTTGGAAAAAAATTACCGTAGAATAGTAGAAATGCGAAGAAAAATTAAACCAACGTACCGACTCTCTCTCGTGTTTTCGCAACACACATTAATCGTCACTAATAAATATTCTTATAGGAAACGGGGATTCTCAGTGAGAACTAATATGCTCAACCCGATTCGGTCCTTGTTCCGACTGCCAACACGTAATCCGTATTGAACTGCTGAACTGCATAACCGGATGGATTCACGTGTTTGACGTCTGACCTCAGAGTAGTACACATTCTGGTCTTCCACTTCTGCGACCAACGCTGATCGAGCATGGAAATAATGTAGAATGATTGTGGCTCTAGATACGGATGTCGGCGTTGATGTGTTGTCCGAGAGCTGGAACTGTTGTGCGCAGACGTTTTGCAGCCAGGCTAGACGGCATCTTCAGTGCAACTACAGAACGCCTCATGCATGTTGCACCCTCTGAGAGAGACTCAGTAAATTTTTGACTTTGGACGTAATTCCACTCTGTGTACCAGAATTCTCTATCTACATATCGGTTTTGGGGCATTCCAGTTCTCCCTTCAACTCATTCATCCAAACGGGCAGCCAAAAGATAGTAACCGAAATCACCGGGAAAAAGTGCAAGGTTGGCGGCTGACAAAACTGATAGTGTGATAAAACACAAGTCCGAGAAAGGCTTCAAAAGCTGTGTGGCGTTCATTAGATCCAAAATTGATTTCGCGGCACAGATTTGCATTCCAACAGTGTCTCCCTCTTCTTGGTCCGTTTACCAATTTCGATCTGCCTTATAAGGAACTAATCCGTTCCATTAGAATAACAGTCAATAAACCACAGTCGGACCGTTGTCCTGGCGCATTTTCCTTCCACTGGAGGATCTCATTCAACAATACCAAATATCTGTTCCCTGATGATGCCCAATCAGCGGTCTAACATCCGACTTCCACGAAACAGCCATATTGCACAATTTGTTTACCCTTTTGTAACCCTTACCTTTTCACGCAATAATCGGTTTACATTATCAGCCAATGCCGTCGGTAAGGACTTGAGACAGTCTTGAATAGCCACCGTGATGGCCTTTTGTATCGGTTCAACCAAACGAGAGGTGTCTGCAAAGCAGGAAAAGGAATGAATGTATGAGTTATGCAACTGAAAGTATCGCGCGGCAGAACCAAGCAAAATACAAAAACAGACCAGAGCAACGTTTTTTACCCGAATTTAGTTCAGTTCCGCTTTTACCACCATTGACCATGCACTTTAGTGCGCCAGTTTTGGCTGCCCATTCGGATAGAAGAGCAGAATGGACATTGGAATGTTGAGAGCAGAGTCAAAGAGAAGATGCAGAATTCATATACAGGGTGACTGCTTCATCGTAGTCGAGCGTCTCGTCCCTCTCACCCGTGACCTTAAGCAAGTAAATTCCCTCTGACCCCTGACGCGATCTGATTGGATCATATTCCGCGAGCTGCGACGCCTAAAATCTCTCACCCTAAACGAGACTGTCTGATTACCGGCTTGTACTTTTTGTAATGCTCTTGCTGTTAAGTTCAGTCCATCCGAGTGTTGATGACACTCCTGCCACACAG